CTGCTTAGATGGAGAAGGCATGCCAAATCTTAAATGTAGCACATTGTGGTGGCCTGAATTAGGAGCCTGCACTTGGGTTGGTCTTTTGTGTTGATCTTGAAGACTGTCAAAAAGATTCAAGTGTTGGGGCTGGGGGGTTAGCTCAGTGGCAAAGTGCCTGCCTGGCAAGTGCAAGGTCATGAGTTTGATTCCTGGTACCAGAAGAAAAACAAAAAACAAAAACAAAAAAAAAAAAGAAAAGAAAAGATTCAAGTGTGAACACAGATGCCAGGAGTACCAACAATTGAGTATGATAACTGTACGAGAAGAAATAAAGCTGGAGCCCTCTAAAACAAGGTTTAGAACAGGTATAGAAGGTGTGGAGAGACTATTAAAAGCAGCCTTCTGGAATATTTTTAGTGTCAAAGTTTAGAACTGAATATCCAGCACTCTTTAGTCTGCTTATTAATTTTTGAATTTCTCTGGGGAAAACAAACTTTATATAAGAGCCACTATTCTAGGCTAACACTTTCTTTTTGTGTTTTTTCTTTTTGTGTTTTTTCTTTTTTTTTTTTTGAGACAGGGTCTCACTATGCTGGGACTACAGGCATGTGCCACCACACCTGGGGAAAACAGAATTTTTAATGTTGCAACTTTTTCTTGAAAGAAAAAATGTGAAACTGAAAGGATAATAGGATTACTTGCCAGGTGCCCTGTTCTAGTAATTCATTGAAAAACTTGTACCTAAATTCAATGAATCCTGATAACTGAACATCATAAATATTTACAGTGTAGTAGAACTGTTTTAAACTCTGTTCCCAGGTTTAATTGATCTGTGGAGTGCATAGGGCTGGACTTTCCTGGAAGAAGTGTTGTAGGAAACTTTTATGTTTGGATAAGTAGTAAATTTTGCAATATATTTTTTTATCCAAGCCTACCTGAGAATGTTTTCCAATAAGATTTCTTCCATGCTGTTTTTCCTTATAATTTAAATGTAATATGCATATAAAACATTATATATAATGTGTTTATATGTTACAAAAATTACACTATAAACACTCGTGAACCTACTGTTCCACCAAGAACCAAATTATTATTAATAACTTTATATAGTTATAGTTTTTTTTTTACAGCACTGTTTTATTCTAGTGTAAGTTTACCTTTGGAACTTTGACTCTTACTGCATTCCCCCGCCCCCGGTACTGGGAATCCAACTCACAACCTTGCGCTTGCCAGGCAGGCGCTGTGCCGCTGAGCTAAACCCCCGGCCCCTTTTTCTCCTTTGTCTTCTCTTTGCTTTTTTTTTTTTTTTTAAATTAAGGCAAGTTATCCCAAAGATTTTGTCTGAGATTACATCTACTTTGACCTATTTAAATCTTCACCTTCTTTGAACATTAGTCATTTATATCTTACTGTTTTTTATAAAGCTCTAGTTTCTTGTGATGTTTGACCCTTTAATGCTCTAGAGTGATTTACTTAACTAGCTGCTGAGTGAGGGTAGAAAGAAATGGAAATGAGAGAACAGAAGTAGGAAATCACTGTTTTAAAAACCTGATTGATAGACATCTTTGCCCGTAAATGTCACTTAAGGCTTCTGAATGAATGTGGATAAATGAGGCATATTATTAAAACAGAGGAATCATTCCATAAAATAATTACTAGAAATTCAATTATAATTTTAAGTAGATAAATTGAATCTTATTATTTTGGAGGACTATGCATATTTTAAGGGCAGTGGCAAAGTATCTTTTGTGTAATTTCAAGGGGGTCTTTATATCCAGTGTTTCTAATGCTGTATCATTCTGAACTTTGTATTGTGAGTAACAGAAATCCCTCCCACCCTGGCCCTGTCTTGTAATTGAACCTCCTTTTGTACATGCTAGGCAAGCAGTGTACCACTGAGCTATATCCCCAGACCCTCAGAAATTCCTTTTGAACTAGCTTAAGAACAAGGGAATTTGCAGGCTTCCTCACGTGGGTTGGGAAATTACTGGGGAGCTCTCATTCAGTTTAGCAGAATCAGAGATTTGGGGACTGGAACTACTTGTCTCTGTATTTCAGTGTTTGTCCTGTTTATAGATTGGGTTCTTGTGTATCCTTAGTGAAAAGCAAAGATTGTCACAAGGCAGATCCAAATTTAGTGTCTGAGTTTACAAATTCCATAGAGAGTTTTTTCTGTAACCTATTCCTCGAACACTGAACATGGAGGATATGTTCACTGGCCTAACTTATGATCTGTGTGTCTCTAGGAGGACAGCAAATGAGACAGTGTGCACTCTGGTAGTGCCATCACCAGTGGATTATTAGATTGCTTTTAAATAGGCTTAGAAGAAGAGTAAAATCTGGAAGCTTAGAGTTAGTATGCTCAAAAACTTAAGGTATTTTTAGCTGCTGTTTTTTGTGTTATGGAGTAGTTAACCACTTCCTAAAAGGCTTAGGGGGCCTTACTGTGGAAGTTTATGTTTGTGGTTTATTATTTTATATAAATTTTGTCACTATGCTAATACAAGGCATCTGGAAAATTAATTTAAAAAATCACTTAATCTGCAATCTAGAGACAGCTACATTTGGATGAATTTCTTCTGCTTATTTTCTTGCAAAGATATAACCATGTTATGATGTTAATTTTTTTGTTCGTTTTGATCAGTATTAATCTATTTTTAACTTTTTGTCAGGTAGTGAAAACTTAATCTCGTTCAATACAGATTCCATCACAGTTGTATGATACTAGTTTTTCACTGAACTTCCTTCTTTCTTAACTTCCCAAGCTTAAAGGTAGCTTTTAATTTTGTTGACATATAATGCCATCATTAAATAATTTTCATCTTAATTTGTTCAGTTGTTCATTTGATGGGCATAGATAGTATCTTAATTTTTGTGTCTTTATTGGTAATAAGATTGATCATTTTTTGTTTTAACTATTTACAGTTCTTTTTTGTGGGTTTCCTTATTCTTTATCCACTTATCTATTGGCATATTAGTATTTTTATTGACTTCTTTGAGTTCTTAAAAAGAACTCTCTTCTGAAAATGGTTTCCTAGCTTGTAGTTCATAGTTTTTTCATATATAAACTTAAATTTTTTTGTGTATTTAAATTCCATTTGGCTTTTGATAAGTTGTTTTCTTACTTTTTTTTGTTTTCTTATTTTTTAGTTTAGAAGTTTTCTGCTTTCAAAGATCCTATAGTTTATCTTATTGTTTTACTTTGTTTTGTTGATTAGAACTGTTAAATCTGTCTAAAAATTATTTTGAAGCATAAAAGGTTAAAGGCATATTTATTTTTCATAAGAGTAATGCTTTGAAGTTTCATGGAAGTTCTCTTATCCTTAAAGTTTTCAAGTTACTGTATTTGAAGAAAAACACTGTTTTAGGCTTATTTTTAGTTATTTTTGTAAGCTAATATTTCTTGATTATTGTGAGAGATTTAAGGAAAATGAAAGGTGACAAGTTTTTAGTGGCAGTAGAAATGAAAAAACTTTTTATCTGGTAAATCTAAACTTTTTATTATAATTCTGTTGGTACAGTGAAAACATTTGTATTTTTTGAAAGTAGCATTTGCTCATGAAGAAAATTATGACAGAAATCTGTTTAAACAGTGAGAAAATTCTGGATTTTTCACGCAGCCCAGGGTTTTGAAAAAGCCTTGTGCTTTGGCAGGAGCCCAGGGGAGGAAGTGTCTGCATCTGCTGAGTTCTAGAAGACTTCCCAAAGTCACTGTAAGGCAGCCAAGAAAGCAGTGCATTTCACTACTTACTGTGTGGTTCTGGAAGTATCTGGAAGTTTGCAGCAGACTTGAGGGAGGAGATTTAGGAGTTCTTCCAGAATCATTTTTTCTGGTGATCTATTTTTATTGAGATTCAAAGTTGGCAGGGAAAAGGGGTCATTTTTCAGCTTTGGAGGAATAGAAAGCTTTCAGTGTAGCCTTTATTGAGCCTGTTGGTTTAGGTGAATTCACATGGGAAGAGTCAGAGATGCCTACATAAAGAGAGAGGCACAGGGCAACAAGTCAGACACCCAGAGAGCCTGTTACTGGGGCAGGCGGTACTGTAATGGTAGTTTATCCTCTTGTTAGATAAATGCAAAGATTTAAAGTCCCTATTTGTGGTAGAGAAGCAGCAAGCAAAAAGTTCTAGCAGGGCCTCTGGGAAATTAAGTAAAGCCTTCCTGTTGGTGAGGAGATCCTCATTTGCCATGAAGCACCCTCTCTAGAAAAGACTGCTGCCAGAGATAAAGGGAAGAAGGAAGGGCTTTGCTGCGAGAATTAAAACAAGAAAGGAGAAAAAAGCCAAGGTTACATACTCAGCTAAGACTTTTTTGTAGATATGGTAAGAAAAGAAAAAACCTCAAGACTGCGTCCTTGGAGAGAAATTACTAGTTTTAAGTGGACAGGGCTGTTTACTTGAGATATAATTCATGTAACAAACAGTTCATTCATTTAATATTCAAGACAGTGTTGTTTAAGTATCAATCACCACAGTCCGTTTGGGACACTGTCATTATCCCCATGTCCACACTTTTAATTGAATTTATTTTACAATTTAAAATCATATAGGTTAAATATGGAACAAGTTAGGAATTTTAAGGATTAATCAGAAAACTATGAAATCCTTTTTCCTTTAAAAATATTATAATATCTTTAAAATGTATTTATAATAGTCAAGTTGTCATTCTAATACATTTTATGGGAAAATCATTGTTCTAGATCACAGAAAAGAAAACTTTTCAGGCTATATTAAAAGCAACTACTATTACTTCCTGAAATAGTCACAATTACTAAGGAAAAAACAAACTGAGGTTGAGTTTTTAAGGATAAGCTACTGGGTTATAACAAACATGTACATTTTTCTGTAATATGAAGTACTGAGGTACTCTATGAAAAATAAGAACTTAGCTATTATTAAATCAGTATACAGGTATTAACATCATTCTGTAGGTAGCCTAATCTTGGAGTCTGACCTTCATTTTGTTCATGGACAGAATAGATAAGCTTTTTTTTGATAATGGCTCTGTTTCTTTTATAGGTGTGTGAACTTGTAAAATTAAATCATCCAAGATGATCTGGCATATTCTAATTGTAGGGATTCTGCTTCCCCAAACTTTGGCCCATCCAGGCTTTTTTACTTCAATTGGTGAGTCTTAACTACTCTTTGTGTTGTTTCTGCATTCAAAAGTTTCCATTTTTTTAATGTTTTAAATAGGTAAAAACAAATTCAGTGCATTCCCAAAGACTGACGTATTTGGCTTACTCTTGCCCTGCTAAAAGTCCCCTCTCTCTCATTTTTAACTCAGTTCTTTTTCTTTATTTTTATTATAAAAATCTGACATATTCTGGTTAGAAACTTAAGAAAATGTAGAAGAGCTTATCAAAGAAAATTACTAATAAGTTTATCTAGCTAATAGTTGATATACTTGTACTTTAGTCCTTTTCAATGCTCAGATACACAAATAAACTATATATTATTTCCTAACCTGATTTTTCCATGTAAGAATCTACTGTGAGCATTCTTTTTGCTACACTGTAATTTTTTAAAGTCCTTAAAAATATTATAAAATAATGTATCAAGGCGGGGGGGGGGCGGGTACGGCTCAATAGTATAGCAGGCAGCTCAGGGTTCATCCCCTAGCACTGGGAAAAATTGGTTAAAAAACCACAAGTACAATACATAGAATATAAGACCTCCCCCTGTCTCTTGCTTCTACAGTTTTCTTCATAGTTTGATATGTAGTGTTTTATATTTTCCTTTCTATATTGCATTGTCTTAAATGAGATGTTTTCCTTCATTCTTTTGACCATTTGGGCCCTTATGGAATTACAGAGCTAAAACATAAATATTATATATTTATGATACTTGATTTCAGGATATAAAATGATGAGCCCTCTAATCCCTTATAAGTAAAAAAGCATAGATCATGTGCAGTTTTGCAGTGTGAGTCTGTTTATTAAATACAAATTTAATCAGACCTGGAAAGAAAAGGTGTAGAAGGAGGTGGTGAAGAAGAAACACTGGGGGCTGGGGACATAGCTCAGTGGCACAGGCTCCTGCCAGACAAGCGCAAGGTCCTGAGTTCGATCCCCAGAACCAAAAACAAAACAAAACAAACAAAGGAGAAACATTGATCCTTGGAAAGTAGTGTTGTGTTGTAATTCTACTTTATTTATTAAAAGACAGTTTGCCACCATAGTGCAAAATAAAGTACCTGGAAAATTAGACCCAGAGCACATAATTAGAACAGGTTTGGCTTTATTTTGATTGAACTAATGAAAAAGAAAAAGGATACTTTGCTTCAACACATCTCATTCAGTTAAATCCTCCCATAGGATGAAGCATTCTCAGTCATTCTTGGCTGGTTCGAAACTGTGTAGATGAATATGAATACTGGGTAACGTGCTTTCCCTCTTTCCTTCGTAGGTCAGATGACTGATTTGATCCATACTGAGAAAGACCTGGTGACTTCTCTGAAAGATTATATTAAGGCAGAAGAGGATAAGTTAGAACAGATAAAAAAGTATGTAATATGTTTTACTTAGTAAGACTGACATCTGGGTGTTTTTGAGATAAGACCTGAGAATTCCTGTCTTTTGTTTAATGAGTAGCCAAGTATTAAGGCTTTTTTTAAAAAAATAGTTGCTCAGTATGTAGTTCAGGCTGGTCATGAACTCACTATGTAGCTCAGGCTGGCCTTGAACTCACGACGACCTCCAGCCTTCCTGCTTCAGCCTCCTGAGTGCTGAGATTTCAGGTGTGAACCACCATACATGGCAAATTTTATTACAGGGTCAATTGAGCCCAAGATTTCTAAGCCAGCCTGGGCAGCAAAGTGAAAAAAAAAAAAAAAAAAACAGATGTAAGTTGATTTAAATGAACACATAAGTGAACTTTTGTTGGGCCAATTTGAACTTTGTAATAGTTATTTGGCCTTAAAGATCTGTGGGGAGGGGCTGGGGATTTAGCTCACCGGCATAGTGCCTGCCTGGCAAGTGCAAGGTCGTGAGTTCGATTCCCAGTACCAGAAAAAACCAAAACAAAACAAAAGATCTATGGGGAAATGACTTTTTTCTATATTTTTAGTAGAGGGATTCAGTCCTAACTTCTACTAAGGTAGGGAGAATCCATTTACTATGGTCATTTGGGAGAAACAAAACAACAGAAAAATCTTTCTGTTTTATTTTAATTCTGCCAAGTCAGATTTTATCCATAAGATTTTACTCTTTAAACAACCTTTATCATTTTACTTTAGAACAAAGTCATGTGTGTAGTTTTAACTCAGAAACCTCTAATCTAGTCTTTTTTCCCCCAAGTACCTTACTAAATTGTGGTTTTCTTTAATGAGTGTGTGTGTATTTTTATGTCATACATTTATAGATGGGCAGATAAGTTAGATCGGCTAACTAGCACAGCAACAAAAGATCCAGAAGGATTTGTCGGACATCCTGTAAATGCATTCAAGTTGATGAAACGCTTGAATACTGAATGGAGTGAGTTGGAGAATCTGGTCCTTAAGGATATGTCAGATGGTAAGTCTGAGGGGACTAGTGAATCCCCCTCCCCCCAAAAGGTAAAGCAATATTGCTACTACTTATAAAATGCCAAAATTAGTGATAAATTCAGTTCCAGAATGTCAGGTATTCAGTGTTGTAATTATTGATTGGGTACATTTGGTTTGACTAGAGTTCATTTAGTCAAGATCCTGAATTCTTTGATTATAAAAAATAGTAATTTCTGCTTCTGTGACTAACACTGGTGATTTTGTTTTGAAATCTATAGAAGTGAATAGCTTATTTGGCATATAGCTTTATTTCTGAGGATAATCATTTTTATTTTGGGATTTACCTTCAGACTTCAAAAATTTATGTGTTTGCTGGGTGTGGCGGCCCACACCTGTAATCTCAACACTCTGGAGACTGAGGCAATAAACATGAAGAGTTCAGGGCCAGGCTGGGCCACATAGTGAGTTCAAGGATCGCTTGGACTATATAGCAAGACCCTGTCTCAGAAACCAAAAAAAAAAAAGAAACAGGAAAAAATTGTGTGTAAATCTTTATTTTCAGTTAGTTTCAAAAATACTGAGTAAATTGCCAGGCTGGTGGCACATGCCTGTAATCCCAGCACTGTGGGAAGCTGAGTCAGGAGGATCATAAATTCAAAGTCCAGGCAATTTAGCAAGACCTTGTATCAAATATTTAAGAAAAACTGGGAGGGCTGGGAATATAACTCAGTGGCACAGCACCTGCCTCTGAGTTCAATTCCTGGTACCCAAAAAAAAAAAAAAAAAAAATCAGTGGGGCGTGGTGGGGCGTGCCTGTAATCCCAGCACTTGGAGGCTGAGGCAGGAGGATCGTGAGTTTGAGGCCAGCCTGGGATACAGAGTGAGCTCAAGGCCA